GCAGTTCGGAAGCTAAGCCACGACAAGCTCAAGACCAAGGACACCCAGGGCAAGCCAACCGAGGCCGGCATGAGGTTGCTTTTGGCAACTCTGAAGGAGAACATCGCAGCCGAGGCCCCGGTGAAGGTGAACGAGCTGTTCTTTAATGCCTTCTACAGCGGTAACGTCTGGAGGAGAAGCACAGAGACCATGGCCCAGTACATTGTGAGAAGGGAGCAGGACTTCAAGAGACTTGAGGAAGTCCTCGAGAACGCCAAGATCCCCGAGCACATCAGGGCGATGATGTTGTTGGTCTTTGGCGGCTTGGACCACAAAGAGCAGCTAGGAATCCTGAGCTCAGTGAACAACGAGTATGACTTCAAGAAGATCGCCCATGCCCTCAGGATTCAGTTCCCAAGCTGCAACGGGAAGCCCGTCTATAGGCGCGACTACCTGGCCTGCGGCCGATCATCCGGCCCTCCGAGCCCGACTAAGCCCCGCTTCCGTGTGCCGGGCAAGGGCCACGCCAAGGGGAAACCGTACATCCTCGCGGTCGAGCAGGACCAGGAGCCCTATGACGAGGACCCCGACGCCTACTACGAGGACCCCGGCAACGACGAGACGGGCAACCAGGAGGACAACGACAACCAGGACGAGGACCTTCTTGAGGCCATGGTTCAAGAGTTCGATCCCTCGGAGGACCCGGGACTTGCTGAGGCCCTGGCCGTTGTCATGCAGAGGAAGAAGAAGCCGTTCACAGCGCCGCCCGGCCCCTCCTCGCAGAGTTTTCCCTTCAAGGCCCACGGCGAGATGAGCATTGACAAGGCCCGCGAGTCTCGCAAGAACGCGGTGAAGTTCCTCAAGCAGGTGACGCCATGCACAGCTTGCGGAAAGCGTGGCCACTGGCAAGGAGACAGCGAATGCGAGAAGTCGAAGGGAGCCGGGAAGGGAAAGAGAGGAGCCAGCAGCCCTAAGAAGAAGGCGACCGGCTTCCCCAAGAAGGGCACCACTACCTACTTTGTCCTCCAGGACGACGCCGGGGACAATGCGGAGGGCGAGGCCTACTACACGATTCCCGTCGGCGCCGAGGATAAGGTCGAGGCGGCGCCCACAAAGACTTTCGAGAACTCCTTTGAGAGCAAGCCCGAGGGAACCGCCGCCTCCGAGAGCCTCGTTGCCCTCCACAACACCGACCTTTGCCACCATGCAAGCGGCAACGGCGGCGATGAGCGGAAGTTCTTCAGGGCAGCGAACGCCCACACAAGAACCGTGACCTGCAAGGAAGACGAGTGCGACAAGACAGTCATTTCGGCAAAGAGGAAGCAGCCGCCCCAGTTGTGGAGCTGGCTGGTCCAGATCGCCCTCTACACCAAGTGGGGTGCCAAGGCTCGGCTGCGCGAGGCCTATCACCGCATGACCGCCGCCAAGGAAGAGATGATGACCCGCAAGCTGCAGGACGACCGCCGTGCGGAAGAACTTCGCTGCCTCACTCACGGCTATCCAGACCCGTCCCGGGCTTCTTCCTCGGATTCGCCCTCACCATGGCAGCTTGTTTCCCCAGCAACGCCGCCCAGGACAAGGACAGTGGCAAAGATCTTGCGGCCAGGCAGCCGGGACAAGAAGGCCTGGGTATATGGAGTTTGTGTCTCTCCTTTCGTGCCCCTGCCGATCCTACCCGACCTCTCCGACGAGGACATGGATATAATGCGGCCTCTTCCCGGTGACGCCTCCATTTTGGGCCCTGAAACACCGTTTGCCGGAATGACCTACGAGCAGGTTGCTTCGTCGAAGGAGGCTGCCTGGTACTGCCAGCAGGTGGTCCAGTTCGCCACCGGCAACTACCCGATGCAGCCTGAAGTATATCGGTTCGCCTTCTACCTCTACGCCCGGCTGAAGATGATAAAGATGTCCGTGGACCAGGCCGAGGCACCAGCCGACAGCCGCGCGGAAAAGAGGACAATGAACCAGGGCGAAATGATCTCCCGGAGGACTCTTCGCGTGCCCGTGTCCTTTGACCCCTCGAGGCCCGACACTGCCGCTGAGCAAGACTGCGAGGTCATGATGACAGAAGAGCCGGAGGCCAGCACCGAGCTCACTGCCGAGGCCTTTGCTGTATCCAACGAGGACCCTCCCGGGATGGCCGTGCTTGACTCGGGCTGTACCAAGACGATGCACGGCACGAGCTGGGCGAGCCAGTTCGAAGATGAGCTAGGCAAGCTCGGCCTGGGTGCCACGGTGCGCGGGAGGACTCAGACCTTTCGAGGCGTCGGCGGCCAGGTCACCAGCCACATCGAGAAGATTTTCCCCGCCGGCATTAACAAGGTCCACGGCACGATCCACAGCAGCGAGTGCCCGGGAAACCTTCCCTTACTCATTTCGAGGCCCTTTATGGAGGAGCTCGGCACGGTGATCAACATTGGTGAGGGGACGGTTTCCTTCACAAGCCTCGGCGTGCACAACATGCCGCTGCTGAGGACTGCAAAGGGACACCTTGCGGTTAGCCTCCTCGATTTCGACCCGGACCACCTCAACGACTACCGCGACGAAGCCCTGGAATACCCGGAGGACAGCCCCACTACCGATGCTCCAGAAGAAGGCTATGAAGGCTGCCACCCGGCTGAAGTACCTGAAGGCTGGCAGCCCGATGATTGGGATGAGCATGTGGAGTTTCTTGGCCACCTGCGCCAGGACGTCGAGAACTGGGAGAAGGAGCTCGAAGCCCAAACCACCGGGGGCAACCAGGACTACCGCGACGGCGACGTGGTTGAGGACGTGAACTTCTTCGAGAATTCGTCCAACCTCACCCCCGTGACAAAGAGGAGGACCAGCGCGAAGAAGGGCAAGAAGCTACTTTCCATGGTCAAGGCGGTCGAGGGCGACGATAGGCATTACCAGCTTACGCTCTCCGGGCAACGCAAGGTGAGCAACCGCCCCCCCTTCGGCAAGGTGTGGGCGAAAGAGCTTTTCCCAACGAGCCTAAAATTCGCCACTCTATGTGTCGTCATGGGCATGTCCGTTGGAGTCCCCCTTGGCTGGGGAACCACCGGCTGGAACGCGGCAAACTCGGCTGGAAGGAGGTGGCTGCGCCACGACATGAAGATCGAGGACCCCTACGTGACGGTGATCCACTGGCCTCGGCAAGACGAAGGTGGACCCTGGCTCCTAGCCGGGAAGGGCGGAACAACAAGGGCGGACGTCGAAGGCAACTTCGGAGAGGGACTCTCAAGAGTCCTAGCAATGGTCACCAAGCTGGTCAAGGGACGCATCTCTGCGAGGCGCCACGTGATCATTGAGGAGCCCCCTGACAAGGACTGGCTTGACAGCCCAGAGACCGAGCACTTGCGGGACATGGTTCGGCGCGGTGCTCTTCTTCGGGTGAACTTTTGTCCTTGTGCCGAAGGAGGCCCCTGTTGCCCGACGACCCTGCTTACTACTATGTTGGCTGCTGAATCTACCTTCTCTACCATCACCTGCTCCTGCGTGGCAAGCCCTTCGGAAGCCAGTGAAGCGTGGGAAGGGGGACTCTCAGAGAAGCTGCGCGAGGCTGTGGTACAACAAGCAGCCGCCGAGGAAGCCATTGTGATGGAAATCCATGAGGCTTACCCCTCCGAGGGGCAAGGCCAGGGCCAGCCAAAACGGAGGAGACGGGGTCCAGTACTTATCGACCAGTTCGACGCGCCCCCCGTCTATATCCGGCCTGACGAACCTATGCAGCCCGAGCTTCCCGAAGATGCTGATGAGCGAACTCTTGCCGAGCTTCTCTCTCCAGAGCTACGTGATTCACTACCACCGCTCCCTCGAGCCAGCCCAGGGGATGACTCGAGCCAAAGGGCAATTGAAGCAGCCAAGTTGGAGCCCATTCTGAGCATGACTGAGGCCGATCGTCGCAAATACTGGCTCCGGGTGGACCCTGACCTGAGGAAATGCCTCCGAGACCTCCACGTGAACTTCGGACACCCGACAAACGTCACCCTGCAGCGGCTTCTCCGAAGGCAAGGGGCGAGGCCAGAAGCGATTCGGGCCGTTGATTTTCTGTCCTGCGACTCTTGTGGGGAGACTCACCGGAGGAAGCGGCCGAAGCCAGTGCGACTCCCGAACAAGTACATCTTCAACAACCACCTCCAGATAGATGTCTTTTACGCCAAGGACATCAAGGGGCAGCTGTTCAGTTTCCTCAACGTGGTATGTGACGCCACAGGGTTTCAAGTTGTGAGCTGTTTGGGAAGCAACCAAGGGCCCCCCTCGACCAAGGCCGTCCTGCGACACTTCCTTACCGCTTGGTCATCCTGGGCCGGCCTCCCGAATTCGATTCAGGTAGACCGTGGGAAGGAGTACCTTGCGCATTTCTCTGACTACCTCAAGGCCTACGGTGTGGAACAGGAGGCGATGGCTTTGGAAGCCCCCTGGAAGCTGGGCCGTGCAGAGAAGGCCGGCGGCCTTTGGAAGGAAGTTTTCATGAAGGTGGTCCACGACCAGCAGGTGTCCGGACTGGAAGACGTGGTCACTGCCACCGCCATTGTGACCCAGACCCGGAACGCCTTCCCGAGAACTTCCGGTTACGCGCCAAACTCTTGGGTTTTGGGACAGCCAGAGGTGAGACTTCCAGGAAGCCTTCTACTTGACAGCGAGAGAGAACGGTTGGAGGTGCTTGAGGGTGCTGAGGACCCACAGTCGGCTATGGCCAGGACGCTGAACTTGCGTGAGTCCGCGAAAGTGGCGCAGATCAAGCTGGACACCGACGGCCGTGTTAGGAGAGCACTTTTGCACCAAAGCACGCCCACTCGAGGTCCGTACCCCGTGGGGAGCTACGTCTACTTCTTTCGTGCACAAGCACCACCCGGGACAGGGAGAACCTACCGCTGGCGTGGACCCGCGAGAGTTATCGGCGTTGAGCTTCGGAACTCGAGGCGGACCGAAGACCAGGACCTCCCAACGGCAGGCGGGCAACCCCACAGTTACTGGCTGCGATACGGGGCAAGTGTTATCCTGGTCACAGGTGAGCAGCTGCGTTTTGCCAGTGAAGATGAGCTGCTCGCGGCGCACATGGTGCCACAGGAGATCCTCGAGCCGCCCTACGCACGAGGCGCGAGGAACTTTGTTGATTTGAGAGCCCAGCCTATGTTGCCGACGACCCCGGGGCACGAAGTGACACCTGAACCTCTGACGTCACCACGCACTCGGCCGGCATCTTCCTCACCGATGCCTATCACGTCGTCGGCACCTTCGGTGACAATACCCGGTACAGCCATTCGGGTACTACCTGAGTTTCTTCCTCCCGTTCCTGAAGACGATGATGGAGGGCTACTTGACGAAATTGGTCAAGCAACCCCTCGAGAATCACAGCAAAATCCAAGGACGGGTGGGGGTCAAGACAACCAGACTATAGAGTCAGGTCAAGCAACCCATCGAGAATCAGAGCAAAATCCAAGGACGGGTGGGGCGCATGATTTAGCTATGTCACGACAGACATCTACGGTGACTTCCGAACCAGAGCCGCAGCCTACAACACAGGTGGTTCCAGTTCAGACTTCAGCCGCAGGTCAAGGACAGTCCCCGTTGAGTCGACCAAATATTTTTGCTGACACGGACCGTCTTGATGGGTACGCCCCGAGCCGCACGGCACGTGAGCCAGTCCAAGGACCCTACATGGTCGAGCCCGGCGACTGGGACTGCCCCACTTTGCCCCACACAGTGCGCGAAGCGAATCTAAGGAGAATGGCGGGCTACTACGATGATTTTGACAACGGCTCGGAGGAAGAAGAGACTGTAGATTATGCTGCCCAAGACCCCGCCGACGTGCTGCTCACTGGAAAGGCCGTGAAGTCCGAGATCAAGCTCAAGGACCTTGGCCCAGACGAGCGGAAGAAGTTTGAAGGTTCCATGGCAAAGGAGTGGAACTCTTGGCAGCTCTTCGAAGCAGCGGACAAGCTCACCCCTGAGCAGAGGAAGGAGCTGCCCGATGACGTACAGATCATCGGCACTAGATGGGTGCACACTGACAAGAACGCAAAGCCAAGGATGCTCGCCAACTACCTCCGGAAGAGGACGGGCAAGACCAAGGAACAGATCAACAAGGAGTTTCCTTTTGAGCCAAAGTCCCGGATAGTGGTTCAAGGCTGCCAGGAGGACCCCACCGGGATAAGGAGCGACAGCCCTACAGCATCCTTACTGGCCTTCAACCTGGTGTGCGCCATCTCGGTCCTGAAGCGTTGGACCATTACAGCTTGCGATGCCTCAACGGCCTATCTTCAGTCAAAGGGCATCAGCAGAACTTTGATTCTACGACCACCTCGACCACCACCTCCTGGCATCTCCCCTCACGATCTACTACGAGCTCGCGGAAGCATCTACGGAACAAAGGACGCAGGGAGAGCCTGGTGGAAGAAGCTGTACAAGACGCTCAAGAAGTACTCGTGGTTGATGTCCCGCATCGAGGCTGCCCTCTTCTACCTCGTAGAAGGCGGCCAGCTGATCGGTATTATGATCAGCCACGTGGATGACCTCTACTGTACCGGCGAAGGTGAACGCTACGAGGCCACACTGAACGAACTCGAGAAGGAGTTGCACCTGAAGATCAAGAGAAGCGAGTTCAGGTTCTGCGGGAAGAATGTGAAACAGACCAACGGCGTCATCGAGCTGGACCAGTACGACGCCATCGAGGGAGTGGACTACATGTTGTTTTCCCCGGCACGACGCAAGGAGGTCAATGCCCCGCTGACCGAGGAGGAGAAGTCTCAGTTCAGAGGGTTGATCGGCCAGATGGGCTGGATCACACGGCAGAGCAGGCCCGACCTCATGGTGAACGTGAGCATGGCCTCCCAGACCATGGGCTCCCCAAAGGTCAAGGACGTGATCAACCTCAACAAGGCCGTGAAGATGCTAAAGGAGACCTCGGATGCGAAGTGGAGATTCGTACCATCCAACATGACCCTCGAGAATGCCCGCGTCTTCTGCTTTGCGGACAGCAGCTTCGCGAACACAGAGTCTTTGAAGTCGCAGTGCGGCTACCTCGTGGGCCTCACCACCGAGGCCATGGACTCCGAGAACGACGCCCCGATCCTCATCCTCGAGACCTACTCCGGGAGCATCAAGCGAGTGTGCAGGAGCACCCTTGCCGCAGAAGCCAACGGGCTACTTGCTGGAGTGGAAGCCGCGGAGTACCTGCAGATGCTCATGGAGGAGATTAAGTACCCCGAGGAGAGACTCGTGGACCTTAACCGAGAGTTTGCCAAGGAGAAGGTGCTGTGCTACACGGACGCAAAGAGCCTCGAAGCGGCCCTGAACAAGGATGCCGGGCAGAGCCAGGACAAGAGGGTCCGCATCCTACTGGCACAGATCCGCGAGGTGATCGGGACCCACGATTACGAGGACGACGCGTCGGCCTACGTGAAGTGGGTTGATACAAGCCAAATGCTGGCCGACGTTCTGACGAAGTCTGGGTGCGAGCGGGAGCCGCTACTGAATGCGATGGACACCGGCACCTGGCGCCTTGCTCCTACCGAGGAAGCAAAGCACAAGAAGTTGATGATCAGAGCGGGTCGGCATGCCAGAAAGGCAGCCCTACGTGTAGCCGAGGACGGGTGAGAAAATACACCTGTGCAGGCATGATGTATAGAAGGGCATTTGCACATGTATAGGAGAAGCAGATGCACCGGCATGTTTGCGCGGCACGACGGCTCCACGAAGGGCGCCCTTTTTAGCAAGGAAAAGGCTACCGCTTTGCTTGTGCTGCTAGCACAACTTTGACGCCATAAAGTTTCATGATTGTGATTGTCGACCAGGATGGAGCAGCTACTGCCCACTCGGCCGTGCTTCGAGCAGTCTCACAGCCGTTTCGGCAGGCCATGTCGGAGTCCTGTCGCACTTAGGGGATGGCTACCCCGCTCGTAGTCACGAGCCCTCAGAGTTGAGCAGGGGAGCTGCAGTTGCGCACCTCAAATTACTCGTAGCTTCTAGATCACTTTCAGTTGACACCTCTCCAAAGCCCTGTGAATTTCGGACAGATGCTCACCACGGAGATGTCAGAAGGCCAGTTGCTTATCTTCATGCGGTCAACTGCCCCCCCACTCAAACTTCCATGGTGCCAATTCCTGAGAGCAAGGTCGGACCAAGACGATCGAGCTGTCGGATGTGTTCGCAGCCTAAAGGGCCACGCAGACCTCGAACATGACTTTAGATGCAGGATCTTGGCGCTCGCCACATAATTTCTGTGTCGTCAGACTGAGGACCCGTGCAGACCTCCTCTTCTTCCTCCGGCTCCTTTATACTGGCCAGGCGCGCTGCTGTTCGCCTTGCAGAAGGCGAAGAGCGGAACGGCACAGGTGGATGAAGCGGATTGGGATGGACTGTCCGGAACGCCAAACTTTCAAGTCCCATGGCGGCCATGGCGCAAAGCGGAAGCGGGGGCATGAAGCCGGGGCCGCTCTGAGCTGAGGTGACGGCTCCCGAAGATGCCGAGCCAGCGAGTGCCGCCTTGCTCAACGGCATCTACACGGCGCGTCGGCGTAGTCGCTCTGTCTCGCTCGCGAATCTGCCTTTCTCAGCGGCAACTGCTGATGGCCTGATCTTCGGCACCGCAGCTGATCTTCACATTGCAGCATTCTCTTGACAAGCTAACTATGGCAATGGCTGACGGCGGGATGGCCTGAGGAAGCAGCAAAGAAGCGAGTCGATTGCGGTCAGCAGCACAACCACAACATCAAGACTCAAGACCCCAGAACACAATTGACAGCAGTAGGAGCCGGCTTTGCCAGTAGTGGAGCGGGAGACATGGGACATATATTCGAGCACGCATTGCAGTGGACACAGCGGCGTGAACAGCTGCGAGCGCACGAGCCATCTTAGCATGGCGCGGCTTTGCGCGCTCGGTGTGTGGTTGTGGTTCAGAGGCAATTGCGCCTGTGAAGCTGAAGGGTTAGTTCAACACCCTGCACCAGTCAGACTATGCCATGTTGTACATGACAGGTGCCGTGGCGCAGCAGCCCGATCTAGATCTGGGCACGCTTTTCGAAGGTGGTGAGCTAGAATGCAGTTGAGTTGATCACAGATGCGTTCGGACTTCCGGGCATCAGCGAGTTTACAAGCTGGGAGGCTTGGGTGCGATACAAAACACTGGCAAGGGTGGCAAAGGTGCGGATTAAGTATTCTCGTTCCGATCACGAGCAGCTGGCGCGTAGCTTTCATGCGGCAAGACCAGAAAGCAGAAGAGACCCCTGGTTTCAGTTTGCAGGTGCCGCACGTGCAGATGATGCCTGCCCTGCCGGCCAGTCTCCCGTCCCGAAGCTGGACCGGTCGGATCGCACGTGTTTGAACTCGGCTTTTCTGTTGCACCCACCCGCCTGCCTCTTCTGTGTGGGGACAGGGCCAGGGTTAAGTTATGCGGCTGGGATCCTTTGAGGATTCCTTGCGGGTTACCGTCTTCGAAATCAGAGCAGGACCAGCACTCCCGCATGATGGCCAACGGTTGCGGTCCGCAGGGCCTGGTGATAAAGGCCCGCTGGGCAGTTGTGAGTTCACTCGATGCTGCCCGCTTTTCAGACTCTGAGGAGCCACATGGGCTGTTTCGTTGCTGCAACGGTCAGAGGCCAAGCACGAAGTGCTGATCACAATGCAGGAGCCCAGATTGGCCCGTATGCACCAAACTAAACGCAGCAGTGTGACAACGTGCACCAGCAGCCAGACAAGGCCACGACGTCTGCTTTTCCGTATGCGGGACCTCGCACGACTTCTGCGAGGACGTTGGCGAGTGACATTCCCATCTAGAAGAAATCATCTAGACAAGGATGAGACGCTACATGTAGGTCCAAACCTGCCGCCAGGATCAGTTTTCCAAGTGCATGCAGGAAGTCGGCTCCTGATGGAATGCACTTGTTTGCTGCCTGGAGCAGCGACTGCCCTAGCTGCGAGCTTCGGTCTGAGGTTTGTCAGAGCCCACTATCTGGTGAGCATCAGGAGTGCCAAAAACAGGCCGGGCATACGAGAGGAGCCAGACGAACGACCGCAAAACATGGCCGCTACTGCGGGTATGCGTCACAGCAGTATAGGAGCTTCAGTGAGGCACACTCGTTCTCGTCAATGACCAAAATCTTTGGATCAGGCCAGGAGCTTTTGCAGTGTAATGCCTGGGCTGCCTCGTCAACAGACCCATCTTGAGGCTTTCATAAAGCCTCTCAACAAGATTCATGCCACTGCGTGCCCGAGGATGAGGCCCTCTGCTTGAGAGTGCTTTCACCAATGAGCTCAAGAGCCACAGCTGCTCTCTGAAACTGAAAGTCCAGGCCGGCAAGAAGCATCGCTCTGTGCTGAAAGGGTTTCCAAGCGCGGGGCGCTCCTGAGCACGTGATACCTGTCCAGCTTTGTACCAAGGGGAATACTTGGAGACCTTCTACCGATTATACAACGAGTCCATGCTTGACACAGACACTCTGGAGCTGCAGCTCTCAAAGTGGAAGGGCAAGGAGGCCAGCGAACACGTGGTGTCAACTTCGCTAGTATCCTTGGCACAGCCAAGCATGCCTCCAGGCAGAGCTGTACTTTGATCTTGCCACTTGGCAGTACCATAGATGCCCGCTAGCTTTCCTGCAGAACTCGTTGCAGATGCTTCTTGCGAGCAGGTGAAGAAGTACGGTCACCTCTTCGTGCAGTTCGATGCTCCCTGGCCTGTTATGGCTGTAGTTCAGGGCTCAAAAGAGACAACAGCATGTATACGGTTTCGCGAACGGTCAATGTTGCTACGGCCGACAGCCGCTTCATGATTACACAAGGACGTTCCAAAGGAGTTCGTGCATGTTCCTGAGGCAGGGACGGGCGAGGGGAGTTGAGGGAGCAGATAGTGGCATCAGCTCAACCGGAAGGCCGCTGTGCACAGCCGAAGCGACCTTTGATGCCGCTGCCGGAAGTGCCGGCAGTCGAGGGGTCCAGGGTTGGAGCCGTTTCGGACTTGTTTGTGACGAATGTGGTGCAAGCACTAAAGCCACAAAGCGTCATGAGGCCGCCGGTCGCTTGCTTTTCCCGGCTGTCAGCCAATTTTCCCGGCTGCAAAGCATCTGATAGCTGCCAGCCAATTTGAGCAAGATGGCTGCGTGCCTTCGCGGGTGTGAGCTATGAACAGCCATGATCTGTAGTTATTTCCCGGACTTTCTGCCGTCTTTGCTTCATTCACCATTCGTCTCAGACTTTAGGCATGTCCACAAAGACCTGGCACCTGAGCAGAGAAGACTCGATGCCAAACGACCAAGTGCACCTCGGGTGGTCTTGGGGTTTCGGATCCTGCTATCCCCTGTCCGCTTGCAGGCCGCCGGAGTCTTCAGGGGATCCCCGAAGTTCCTGAACAGCAATCAGGCCTCTCTGCTGAGAGCGTGGTAGCTCGCAATTTCGGCAGCCCGGCCAGGTGCTGCTTTATCGCGGAAGTGAGGAGGACCAAGACGGCCCATGCTGGCTGCTGGACTTTTTTATCTTTGCACAGCGACAACGATCTAAAGGGTGAAGGTGCGCTGCTGTCAAAAGACCGAATGACTCATTCTGCCCGATCCGAGGAAGCTGTCTTGGAAAGAAGATGGCGATGACGATGAAGACAGTGACGAGGCCTTGCTGGACATGTCCTGTGCTTGTGGGATGCCTCGTTTCGCAGAAGCAGAACCTCAGAGTTTTTCACCTCCGGCAGGCGAATGACCGCATGCTGCCAGAGCCTCGGGACGGAAGAGGCGAAAAGGCAGCTCCTCATTGGCTGGGAAGCTTAGCCGTGCCGAGGCTGGAACGATTATGGTCTGCAGAGGACGTCACCGAGGAGGTTGCAGACCACAAAATCGGGCGTGGCTCACAGAGTAGATGAGTAGATGCATCTGGGAAGCGGCTATTGGAGCAAGGTGGGACTTCAGCCAGAAAGGTGGAACTTCCTCTTCTCCGCCTGCTGGGTCATGGACACGGGCCGGACCCCCGGAACCCTGAGGATTTTCAGATGGTTGGAGGGACTCGGAGTTGAAGTGCGACGAAAGCGATGTGCAATCAAGGAGAAAGGTGTTGGAATTTGGGGAAGCCCTGGCAAGAACCCGGCAGCGTTCTCAGATCTACTTCCACACAGTTTCGATCGCCGGAGTGTGCCGTGTGTGCAATGGTCATGGCGCGGAATGTAAGACAAGACAGGTTCATGTCGCGAAGATTGACAACCCGCCTCTGACCTTGCTTCTTTCTGCCCTGGGACTTGCCAAGAAGTACATTGTTGAGTCGGGGGCCGAACTTGGACTTCAAGATTAACTGCCTGCCAAGCTCACGTGAAAGACCTGTAGGTACATGGTGCGGTGGCTAATGGAGGCAACCTGGGAGAGGCAAAGCTCGGACTAAGCTTGGAAACATTGTTAGTTGTGCGGGATCGTAAGGTTCAAATCTACAGAGCACCTACTCAATCGAAACTGATGTTTTCCCCGAGATGCTTGTGTTTACATTCGGTGCGTCGATGTCTTGATGGTTTACAAAACCGTTGTTTAGGAAGCCCACCGGCTTTCATCTCGAGAGAGCCCAATGGAAAGTCTGCGCAGAGCTTGCTACCCGGCTGCTACAGGAATACTCTTGAAACAACAGCTTCTCCTCGGTAAAGTGTTGAGAATTGCATACGACCACCCCTTTGAGCAGCTCTGCGTTTAGTCGCGGAGCGTTGCAGCCTGCCAGAAGTATGTATGATGCAGGGCTGCCACACCC